GCTTCTTTGCTTGCAGGAGGATCGTGGATCAGTGCTTGGCCAGCATATGCTTCATTTAGCTCTGGTTAACAGCGGTGCATACATTGGAGTATGTATTGTTCTGCAGTTCTTTTTATCCCGGTTTCTCTGTTCTTTGGATTTAACGTGAAAATATGATTTTTTTTTGTAGGATTTTGCAGAAATTGTGAGGCGTGAGCTACTTTTGATGGACAAACAGAGTGGTCTGGCATTTGCGTCCATTGATCTATTAGCTCAGCTTGCCAATAAATTGAAAAGGAAGCAGTTCGCGAAATACTTTTGGCCTTTGGTTAGGGAAAAAGCGACGAAGCCTTTGGATCACTTAGCGCCGGAGTGGTTCTTTTTCATTCTTCTCGTATTCGAACATCACACTGTAAGTACTGCAATAATTAGCCATAATTTGTTGTCTTTTATATATTTTTACATAAAACACAAAATGCATAATGACGAGACTGTGCGTGTGCTTTTAGGCTTATGCATGAATGTCTGTCTTTCGCAGTCGCTCAGCTTTAAGATTGTGAAAGCTGGGACGCAAAAATTTTTGCAAACAAACACCATCTTCTGCCTTTTACAAGTCCAAAAACTTCAGATTCTCATGCATTTTGATGCAAGGTAACCCAAAACACTTAGGATTACGTCAGAACGGTTTTGTATGATCTTAACATTGCGCCATTCACAGCAATATCAAATGCATGTTGCATTATTATCTGATGAATTTCATTAAATAATCATCGTGACGAGGCAGAACCAATCCTCAATAGCTCATCGCAGAATCGCATAGCTACTTTACTGTAATAGCTGGCAGTTTCTTGAATAGCAACAATATTACTCGGTTTATGAGATCCAATTGTGGTAATGGTAAGAAATGTATACGACTTAATGGACCGAAATATTTCTTACCATTAAATTCTTATAATTTACAAATTTTGTAATTCTCAACTCTTACCTTTTTTACTCTTCCTCTTTTTTCATCCGTTGCTTAATACACTATTTTTTTTTCTATTTTTATTGTATTATCTGTGCTACTTATATATAGAGCTGTTAACTCCGAGCGAAGCTCTGCCAGACCATACTTTCCTTGCCGGCTTATGTCGAGTTACCCTCCATCATCTGCAGCAGTATGCACGTTTGCCATTTCACTGAAGAAAATCGAAATGGTTGCTTCCTGCCGTAGAAGTTCTCCACTTTCACTCTGATTAATTACACTTCTTGGCGTGGTTCTCCAGTTATGCAGCTCGCAGCTTTTCCAGTTGCTTTGTTTTGTGCTGTACCGTTTGCTGGAAATTACGCCAGCGATGCTGGCACTTATTTTGTCTCGCGGAGGAAGTACCAGCTCAGATAATCAGCTCTGGCAAGGCGTTAATTGTTTCGAGGTGCATGTTTGTTGGGCTTAAAATCTCGTCTGAAATTCGGCCAATATAAATATTTTGTTCTGTTTCAATTGGGAACAGATGGCTTTACAGGATGCGTTAAAAACGGAAGTGTCATTTATTTCAAACAATGGGAAATTATGCTTCCTCGAGGCTGACTGCGATAAAATTGTGAATATTCTGAAGGTTAATTTCCCTGTTGTTTGCATTTTTCATACGTTGGCGCGTTTAGAGCCAGAAAATGCGCCTTAGCTACGTTGCTTTGTAAAAATGGCAGCGAAGTTTCTGACTAAGCTTTTCCTTAAATTTTTCATCATTACTTTTGAGTAGCTGTATTCAAATTTATCTTATCATCATTTTTATTCCTTACAGTGCCAATCCCCCAACGAATTTAGGCACTTCTGCCGCTAAATTTTAAGCGTGCTGAGTCTATTTATCATACTTTCCTCCCTTATGATTACGTCACCTGACGATTGTTAAACTTTGTTTTTCCCTTCCCTTTATTTTTGAGGGCAACGGGGTGATATCTGAGGACGCCATCAACGATTGGTGAGGCGAAATTTTCGAGGATTTTAACGCAAATTTTAATTAATCTGTTCTAGAAAACAAATGCCTGCGCGGTACAGAACTTATTGTTCAAGTTATTGGTATTATCTCGCAGCAGTGGCAATTTCGACACTGTTTATCGTAAAATTATTGAGAATTGGATGTACCATGGTGATGCGCACAAAGTAATTACAGAGTTTTTTTCTCCAGCGATTTGACTGCAGCAGTGTAGGGCTTTCTCAGCTGATTGTTCATTTGATTCTTATAATTTACCTCTTTTTTCAGGCCTTATCTCGTTCGCTGCATTTTATCAGTAAATCGCTTCAGCAAATTGATTTTCAAACCAATGAGGTTTAAGTTTCAGTCTTTTAATAGCTAGATGTTTTGGTCGTAGCTTCTACCCGTAAGACGTTGTTTACTATGCTGAAACGATTGGGCCTATAGTGCAGGAATCGAATGCTTTTGTTTCCAGTATTTGACTTAACTGAACTTTTAATGAGTTTACTCATGAGTGCGTAATTCTTAAGCTTTTTAAAGCTTTTATTTGTTTAGTTGCTGTTGATATTTTCGAGGGAATTTGTGCATTTGATAAGGTCAGTAAGAAAA